TGATTAGTGATTGAAGGGTGGAGACCAGAGCCAGACAAGCTAACTAAGGCATTGCTGCAATGATCCTGGGAGGAAATAAAGACCTTATTTAGAGTGGCACATCTAGACACAGGGTTGGTCATAGTTTGAGAAATGGAGCCTGGCAACATGCCTCACTTTTTATCAACAAAGTATATTTACTAAGTTAATCATTTAATTGAAAATTGATCAAACATCTTTAGAATTTATGAACACTCCATTCACCCTCAAATGGTAGAGATTAGCACTATTAAAGGCATTTTTCAGAAGCATGACAAGTATTTATCAAAGCTACTATTTATCAAACCTAAATACACACATATGAAAGAAAAAATTCCAGTTTTGAATGAAAAAAATCAATGTTGTTGGCTTAAATTCTCAATAAATTTAAATCAGGCAAGATTTTTAATGTAACTCCCCTCCCCTCCCTCTCCTCCCCAGCCCCGTCCTGGGGCTTGAACTTGGGGCCTAGGCATTGTCCCTGAGTTTCTTTTGCTCAAGGTTAGTGTTCTACCACTTGAGTCACAACATCACTTCCAGCTTTTTTGGTAGTTAATTTTAGATAAGAGTCTCATGGACTTTCCTATCCAAGCTAGCTTTGAACCATGATCCTCAAATCTCAGCCCCCTGACTAGCTAGGATTACAGGCATGGTCACCTGCACCTGGCTTCAATATAACTTTTTAAGGTGCAAAGTATTCATCATTATGCCCCAGATACATAAAACAGCCTAACCAGCTACTATCATGGAAGCCATGGTGAAAAATGCAGGGATGTTATTTTTCTTCTTAATTATCTTTAGTTGTACAAAAGGGATTTGGTTCAACATCTCAATTTATGAGTACAATGTATCTCAATCAATGTCACCCCTTCCATCAATCTCCACTATCTCTTCCCAGAGGAGTTTTTCTGATTGAGATTTTCTCAGCAATTTTGAAATAAATTATCTATTTAAATATATTTCCTTTATTTTCTTTTCCTATGTTAGACCCCAGTATGCATAAGAAGAAAATTGACTTGCTTGTCAAGGGTTTGCCAATAATAGAGCGGGGCACTGGTGGCTTATACCTGCAATCCTGTCTACTCAGGAGACTGTGATCTGAGGATCATGGTTTGAAGCCAGAACAGGCAGGCTGGAAAGTCTGACTCCTTTTTTTTTTTTTTTTTTGCTGGTCCTGGGGCTTGAGCTCTGGGCCTGGGTGCTGTCCCTGAAGTTCTTTTTGTTTTTGTTTTTTTGAATATTTTACTGGAGAGAAGAGTCTCACAAAGTTTCCTGCCTGGGCTGGCTTTGAACTGTAATCTCAGTCCCCTGATTAGGATTACATACTTGAGCAATGGTCATCAGGCTCCATGAGATTCTTACCTCCAATTACCCAGCAAAGAGCCAGAAGTGGAGCTGTGGCTCAGATGGAAGGGCACCAATTTGGATTGAAAAGGCTAAAAAGGACAGCACCTAGGCTCTGAGTTCAAGCCCTAGTATGGGCACTAAATAAATAAGAACCAAAAGAATAAACAGTGATTTGAAACTGTTTTAAATTGGTTTGAAACTCTCTACTCACATTGCATTCGCACTTCCAGGAAAGAAAAAGGATGATAAAGGTAAAGGGGTCTTTTTAATTTGACCCCCATTTTATATAGTTTCTCCAGAGGCTCCAGGGGGGTAGTGAGGAGCATTAATAAAAGGGTTCTTCATGGTCTTAATAAAGTGGTTCTTCATGCAGCTCTCAGTTTGACTTGGAACATAAAAAAGGGGTGGGGGACTGGGAAGGTGGCTCAGTGGTAGAGCACTTGCCTTGCATGCCTGAGGCCCTGGGTTTGATTCCTCAGCACCACATAAGCAAAAAGAAAAAAGCTGGAAGTGGTGCTATAGCTCAAGTGGTAGGGTTAGCCTTGAGCTGAAGAGCTGAGGGACAGAGCCCAAGCCCAGAGTTCAGGCCCCACAACCGGACCCAAAAAAAAAGGGGGGGGGGAGGGCACAAAGAGACTTTTTTCATTATTAAGAAATGTTTCTGAAGAACATTTCACATGAGCTCTCTATCTTTTAAACAATGAGATTTTTAAAAATGGGCTTTCTATTCTCTATGGACCACGAATTGGTCCAGACTTTATCTCCTGGAGTAAATCAAGTTCCTTATTTAACCTTGCACTCTACTTTGTACCTACCTTACAGTAGATGATGACACCATGTCTTATTTGAAACTGAGCATCGAGGACAAACATGAGGAACTTGAACATAGCAGGGAAGTTTCCCTTACAGCCAAACTCTAAAATGCTCCCTGTAGCAGGGAGGAATTGTGTTGGGCCCTGCAGAACCTCTGGCCTAATTCTGAGATGACACCTCATCAACCATTTCTTCACTTAGTATCTTGCTCAATCAATATTAGCTAATTTGGTTTTAAAATATGCTCTTCCATCCCTTTACTCATCAAGAAAGGGGGAGACATGCAGGAAAGGGGCTGATTGGCTGCTCTTGTGGACCTATTTGCATGGCCTTGGCTAAGAAGGAGGCCTTCAATCTCAACACTTTAAATGTGCTAGATACTCCTCTTATTCCATTTTTAGAACTCTCAGCATTTATGGAAAACAGGCATATATATATGTAGATATAAATATATACAGGTCTGGGATGAGGAATGTACATAGATGATAGCAGACCTGTATATTATAAATAAAATAAGCAATATATTTCCTGAGTACACATATTATGTGTCTGTATTTTGTATGTATTATATTGAGTAGTACATTTTCTGTTACTAATGTATCTGAAGCTGGGTAATTATGTATTTATTTTTAGCTTACAGTTCTAGAGGCTGAAAATTTAAGATTGGGTCTCCACATCTCTTCAGTCTTTGGTAAGAGTACCCGGAGCTGCACCACAATACACACAGAAACAGAAAGGGACCTGGCCAGGAACATAAGGGGTGGAGCTTGTGGGTAGCCTTACTTTATAACAATCTACTCTGTAGAGAATGTGACTCTGAGATGTATATTGGTAACATCACTGGAATTCAAATAGAAGAAAATGAACACCTGAACAAAAAAAATTATATATACATATATATACACACACAAAGAGTTCCTATAAACTCAAACATGTACAATAATTCATTAAAGACAATGTGGTTCATTAATTACATCCAAATTACTTGTGCATGAGTTCAGTGCATCTACAGATTCCACCACAGTGGAAATACCTTCATCTTTCAAAGCTCTTGTGCTGGTTCTCATTACTTCCTCTCTCCTTTCACCTCAGGCCCTGAGAACAGCTCTGTGTTTAGTCACAGCTGTTTTGTCATCTTTGGAAGAAAATTATGTAAATAGAATCAAACAACATGTTCCTTTTTGTCATTGGCTGCTTTCACTTAGCATAATGCCTTTAAGCTGAGGTCGCCAAATAGCTCATCTAAAAAAAAAAAATTAGGGATGGACCATACTCTGCCCACCCATTCACCTACTGGAGGACGTTTGTGTTGGTTTTAGTTTTTTATTGCCTATGAATAAATGTGTTATAAAATTTCTGCTATTGCATCCTTCTTGCAAGTTTATTATTTCTGTTATGCTTTGGTTCTACATCTCTTTCTCTATACATGCATACATAATTATGTTTTGGAGATATATCTATATCTAGATATGTTATATCTATCTATCTATCTATTGGAGAATGAGCTGTAGTTTGAGCACTAGGAAAGAAAATAATGGACATTTGCCATTTAGATTGAAAAGAATAGTACCAGGAAAGACAGAGCATTGGGGATTAGAGCACCTGCAGAACCTTGCATCAGTAGGTGACTTCGGATCCCGGCCAAGTTCTTGCTGCAGGTAGAAAAACTGATTTCAACGACAAAGAGGATATATCTGCTTCACTAGCTTTAACTTACATTCTGCAAGTTATGGACTTATCCAGGTCACTGGAATTTAAAAACAAACCGCAAATGAATCTAAATAGAGACGTTGACGGCTGTCTAAAAAGTTGCACGCAAACACCATTAAGGCACGCGTTTCCCCAGCAGGCACAGAGCAGAACTGCCACCGCGTGCACCGCACGCAGCCTGTAGGAGCGCCCCTCCCTTCAGCGCACGCCGCCAGGCTACAAGCAAAAGCTCCCGATCTTCCCGGGGCGCGTGCCCGCGAGCTGGGGGCGGGAGGGGGCGTGGAGACCGTTCCCTTGGAGCAGCCAATCAGCAGCGAGGCTCGGCGGTGGCGCCAGTGACGTGATTGCACTTCCCTCCGCCCCACTGCGGGCGGACGCCTGTCGCTGTCAAGCCACGCAAAGCTCTAGCGTGAAAGGAGAGGGAGGAGGAGGGCTTAGGGGCCCGCCGGCTGTCGGAGGGCGGGCAGGTCGAGGGAGTGGGGCGGAGTGCGCAGGCGCAGCCGCTCGGGCGAGGAGGGACTGGGATGAGGCGACGCACGCGCGCGCACGAGAGGCCCGCCGGCGGCCGCGGGTGGAGGGGGCGGTTCCTCGAGTGTCGGCGACCCGAAGG